ATATATATATATATATATATATATATATATATATATATATATATATATGAATAAAGTTATTATTATTATTATTATACCACTTCCTGTTCGAACCAATAAACGGTTGGCAGTACTCACTGGCAGCGAGGGCCGCTGTAGCCCTTGGAGCACGTACAGGTATACATGTTGGGTCCGTCGTGACAGGTGCCTCCATGTTCACAGGCGTGACGCTCACACTCGTCAAGGTCCTCATCACAGAGCGCACCAGCATATCCGGGGTGGCAACGGCACTCGAAACCAGCCAAGTAGTCCTTACAGCTCCCATGGACGCAGGGCTGAGACGCACAGTCATCGGTGTCCGTCTCGCACAGCTCTCCCTCCCAACCCGAGTCACAGACGCAACCGAGTTTGTTAAAGAGGTCTTCACAAGTGGCTCCATTTACACAAGGATCTGAGTCACAAACAGGGGCACTGGTGCAACCCAAATGGATCTTTGGTTTTCCAGCTAGGTGGAACTGAGACGGCTGCGGGGCTTTATAGTCACCCACAAAAGGAAGATAGACTCCGCCGACCCTCACCGCCCCCAAGCAGCCGGTGAAGCTCTCTGCGATGGCCAACGTGGCCCCCTTGTCGTTGAGAAAGCGAACGCTTCCTGCGCGCTCCGGCCCGCTGCTGGCGTCTGTGATTCCGTCCACGGTGATGACCCAGGGAGAGGCTTTGCGCTCCTTGTTGGCCATGGAGATGTTCACGCGGTGCCAGCCCCCGTCGGCCACCCGGCGAACTCCCGTGAAGGCCAGCGCCTCAACGCTGTTGCCAATGTGGATCTCCACCCGGACCGACGAGTCCAGCAGACCCACCATCAGCAGGTCAGAGCCCCGGGAGGCCCTCAGGATCACAGCGTTCTCTGAACGGGTCCGCAGCTCCATGTATATGCTAGAGACGGGTTCAGCCAGGGAGCCTCCAGCGCTGTAGTGCACAGGGTTGTTCTCAAACGTGGCGTTGTTCACACCTAAAGGTCAATGTGGAGAACGTGTTTATTGTATTATTATGATTTCAGTTATTGTAAGCATCAGTCTGACAATTTGAATTTGCATTTGTTCAGGGAAAAGCAAATAGCCATTCAACAACTTCTTCTCTCTCAGTACCTCAACTCAGGGCATCTGCCAACTCAGAGTACCCATCTGGTACCAAATGAACTGGTCAACAACAGAAACATTCCCACACTTACCAAGAATGTTCGCCAAAATGGACTCCCTTTACATGCAAAATATACCTTCAAGGAGTTGGGATTTCCATCAAGGTGTTTGTGTCTCTGAACCTGAGGGGTTTGGTTTTACCCAACAAAGACGCTTTCTCCAAAGTTTTGCTACCAAGCAATCGTTTCAGGGAATCTCAGAGAAGGAAATCACGCCTCACTAAGAAAAATGGACACATTTTTGCTCTGACTTTAAGGACTTCTACTAAGAAATTCCTCCTACCTCTGCTGATATTCTAGAGAACTTAAGAGAAGTCCTAACCTGTTAGGAGCCTTTTCTAAGGAGCAGATTTTCCACAAGAGGAAAGATGTTTTGGGAACCCTCTGTGACATTTAGCTCAACAAATAAAAGTTATTTTCTTGACTGACTGAGGAATTGATGGTCTACAAAGAGACACCACCACTTAATCATGTCATATATCAACATATGAAAGGGTAAGTAAAAAGGAAAAACAAACAATTTCACTATTCATTATTTGAAGATCCGTGTTTAAAATGTAACTAAATGTATAATGACAAATCCCAGTTTTATAAATATACTGTATATTCCTTAAAAGTAATCATTTAAAAAATCACGGGACAACATTCAACCCTACAGCATACAGTATGTCCAATGCACTCCTTATACATTATTACTATAATTATTATTTGCATGCTGCTTGTATATTAAAAATAAGAAAAATCTGTAATAATTAGATCAGGCAAAGTACTTCAAAGTCAGAGTCAAGACAACTAATTGGATGGAATGTACTGTATACATAAGGGCACTAGTGTTGCCCAAAGAATATGACCAGCATCTGACTAGAGCCACAGTTATAAAATGATCGGGATGTTCTTACATTCATATCCATCAGGAAGGTCCACACAGTGGCCGCCATTGACACAAGGATCGCTCACACACCACACGCGTGTTTCGCAGGTCTTTCCGGTGTATTCCGCCAGACACGAACACGAGAAATCGTTGAACGTGACGGTGCATTCTCCTCCATTTAGACAAGGCTTCACCTGAAGAGGGAGATATTGAAATATAATATAACGCAGACACAAGGAGATCAAACAGCAAATAATCTTCAGAGCAGGGTTGAAACTGATTTGATGTTATGACAGGTATCCAAAACTGTCAAGGGTCAATTCTGTGTCCCTAAAAACGTATGCTTTGACACTATGGTGTAAGACGTCGTATTCGGGAGGAGGTGCAGGTTTGACATGGAGCTTAGTGTTAAGTCAATTCCAGCACTTAGCCTGTTAGCGCGTTAGCATTAGTTGATTTGGTTATACAGGCAACACAACTAATTTCTTAGGTTTAGGTAAACAACATTGTTTGACTTACAGTAAGTACTTTTGTTACAATATTTAAGATACTTTTTAAGATGCTTCACACAAACAGCGGTCAACTGGGTGAAAGTCCTGTGTTTGTTTGACCCACCCATACTCTGGACTTCTGTAAGAACGCATCCTTCCCTAGAAACATATGGGAATGTAATTCAGTTCTGCGTCATAAGAGGAAGCAGAACTGAAGTAAAGTAAAGCAATGACTAACTGATATGTTGGTCCTAATAACTACCAGCAAAGCTGGCCCCAAGTAGCTATTGTTACTGTAAGGAACAGAACCCTTTCAGGGACTATTTCCTACCTTGCAAGTATTGTCACTGACGCAGGCCTTCTTCACATTTTCAGCATCACTTGGTAGATACACTCCCTCCTTGTCCGAACTGTTCCAGGCATCCACATCTAGATGCACCGAGTCTAAGCGAAGGTCCTGCAGGCAGCCTTTGTAATGCCCCCCCCACATGTCGGAGCCCCAGTCTCCTGGGAGTCCCCCTACATAAGCCTGATCCCCACTGTTGACATTCACCTCAGGGATCTCTCCTATCCCGTAGCGAAGGCCTGCATGCTCAAAGATCACCTGTCTGTGGTGGACCTCCACCTGCAGAAGTTGCTTCTCACCGGTGGTCACAAATATGGGAGCTGTTAGTGGGGCGCTGTTAGGCAGCGAGCTGACAAAAACCCTCCCCATCCCCAGGTAGACGGAGAAGTAGACATCTCCGCCCTCTTCCTCCGTGGGTCTCCTTAGCTGGAACAGCAGCCCGTCTGGCTTCAAGGACCTCAGGAAGAAGGACACACTGAAGTTGCTCTTGTGGCTTCTGCCTACATCATAGACACTGAAGCTCACTGTGTCCTCATGGCTGTATGTCCACGACGGGAACTCTGACAGGAGAAAATTGAAAGTTTGGATTAATTACAAAAAATAGGACTACAACATTTAGTAATATAACTTCAGTATCAGCCCCTGATGCCCCTGGAATGTATAAGTTCACATAGCAGCGCAAGCTGTTCCCTCAAACCTATGGAACTCAACACTGTTTCTCCAGGTGGCCATCAAATGCAAAATAATGTAGTAAACCGTGGTGCAGCTAACTGCATCTTGCTCTCTTTTCACTCCCGTGTGGGGCAACTGTGGCTAAGGGGATAGCAGGGCCGCCTTTCAATCAGAGGGTGGTTCAGGTGGTCGGTGGTTCAATCTCCGGCTCTGCTAGTCGCATGTTGCTGTGTCCTTGAGCAAGACACTTAACCCCAAAATTGCTCCTGTAGCTGTGCCTACGGTGTAGAAATGTGATAGACTGAATTGTAAGTCGCTTTGGATAAAAGTCTGCTAAATGACTGTAATGTAATGTTTCTGGGTCAGGTGATGTGCAAACAGGAGCTATCATTGCTCACAAAGTGACATACTTTTTTTTTTTTTGCCATATATTCATTGTCAAGTCATAACAATAACTGAAAACCAAAGTAACCGATCATCAAGGTAGGGATTCTCTGCAAGTTGCAGCCACAAGGGTTTTCTGTAAAATAACAAAGAATGATAAGTAAAATATACATTTTCCCTCGCTGGCTTCCCATCTACAAACAACAGCCATTTATGTTTGATGGAGAACCAGACCAAATACTTGTCTTTTCCAAGATATGCTACTTTATACTTCTACTTCACTATATTTCAATGTACTTTTTATTTGACTGGTTACTTTGTAAATTAAATACACCCAAACTGGTTTCCGATTACTCTGCCTGGTTAGACCTACGGGCAGGTGTATGCTAGGTGGGGCTATGTTGGGTTTTATGTGGTGTCACCAAACTCTATGTAGCCTACTAATAATGGGAGATCGTGGCTAAGTGGAGAGCAGGGCCATCCTTCAATGAGAGGATCGGTGGTTTGATCCCCGGCTCCGCTAGTCGCATGTCAATGTGTCCTTGAGCAAGACACTTAACCCCAAACATTGCTCCCGTAGCTGTGCCTACGGTGTGATAGAATCTGAATTGTAAGTCGCTTTGGATAAAAGCGTCTGCTAAATGACTAATGTAATGTAATAAGATAATCAATAATTTAAGAGACTGACAACGGGGCAAATTGTCCCATTTTAACAATGTCATTAGATTAATGTTAATTCTGAGAAGACATCCACTAAGTGAAACTGTTTGCAGCTATACCTACGAAAAGTCTTGCACTGTAATTAATATAAACCATGTGATCGTGAGCCAAGATAGGTGACGAAGACTGCTTAGGAGGGAAGTTTGGGGAAATGGATGGGTCTATAAACACAAGACTTTCCTCCCGTGTGAAACCAGGAGTCAGAATGTATGTACTTGTACCACATCTGAAGTTCCTTCAACCCAAACCACAGCCTCTCCCTAAACCAAATACTTTTGTTGCCTGATCGCTCCAGTTGGACACAAAGAAATATCACACAAACCATTGTGTAAGGAAACATTGGGGTGGACAATGAGTGTGCATTGGCTCTAAGATCTGACAAACAGTATGTATGATCCCTTTATAAAATATGATGCAAATTAAACTACCAAGCAGTGTAATAACTGAATAGACTTTGCTCGACCTTGACTAACTACAACATTACAATGCTCCTGCTTCAATGCATTAGTAACAAAACAATAATACTGTATATAAGAATATAACAGGGTCCACTCTCTTATACGCACTATTACTTTTGATACTTTAAGTACATTTTTCTCATAATACTTTTTTTTTACTTTTAACACTGTGGTTTTGCTTCTTTTAGTTAAGTAAATTACACCTATAGGGACTTGTTTTACAAGATTTGTCCAAAACTTTGGAAAAAAACTTGCTAGTGGTAAAGGTGCTCACCTTCAGAGCAGTTCTCGCTATGGAAGGGACGGTAGCAGTCACACTGATAGCTGGTCCACAGGTCCACACAGCGTCCATACCCATGGCAGGGGTCAGGCTTACACCAATCTGTCTTACTGCATCCCAGCTCATGGCCTTGGTCCTTTGGAAGGGTGTGCGGTAGGATAGGCTTAGAGTCGATCATCAGGTCTTCCATACATCCAATGAAGCTTGCACCGCTTGCAGATAACTCTAAAAGCTCCTCTGGTGCTCCGCCGACATACATCTGAGTGAAGTCTTCAGAGGGCTGGAAGGGTGGTTCATCAGCACCGCCATCTGTAACTCTGCATCCGTCCCTGTCACAGCCCCGGCCTTTCAGAATCAGAACCAGGCCTTCCATATCTACAAACACGTGAGCCTCCCGCCACTCTCCATCGCTGACCAAACCAAGAAATGTTACATCCAGTTCAGACTCCTCAGAAAAGGCTTTTGCACGAAGACCGCCCTTCACGATCTCCAAGATGAGGTGATTGTCCGCATCCCCTCTGTAGAAGAGCAACATGTCAGGCAGAGTTGTCCGGAAGCGCAGCTGCACCCCAACACCACGGTGAACGCTGTGCTCGACCTCCCTCCGGGTCCTTTCTTCTAGCACAACCTGGATGTGAATGAATCCAGGAGTGGAGAAGGAGAATGTCGTCCTCGTAGAGCACTGCTCATCGTAGAAGCCGTGAGGGCACAGGCACGTGTGACCCTGTTCTCCACCCTCCAGCCACGGGTGGCAGGTGGCTCCGTTCTGGCATTCGTGGTCCACACAGCCGTAGAGTTTCACGTCGCAGTGATCGCCTCCCCAGGGGAGTTCACCGGGCTCCGCCTCGGGACAGTGGCAAGTGTAGGAGGCCCTGCCGTCCTCACACCAGCCGCCGTTCTGGCAGGGTTGGCTCTCACACTCGTCAATGTTCACCTCACACAGCTCACCTAGAGGGAGACGACACTGAAGGTTAGACATGGTGGTGGCAGACTACTACCAGAGCTGCACCGCAAAAGAAAGGGGAAGGATCATGTCGATCATCCCTGTTTGTGGCTCTCACCTCCAAGCCTATCGACTCCAAAGATGTAAAACTTCCGATGGAACGTTTTATTTAATTAAAAAAAGGCTCAATCATTTCTTAAAACAGCTGGTCTCTGTAGTTTTTATCAAATGTCACCCAAACTGGAGACAGTATTGCATTTGTTGGGGACTATTTTCAGCAGCGAATGAAACACATGTTTTGCTATAGTGAGTATACCTTTCATTCCTTTTCTGTGACCGTTGATAGGGGACAGAAGTTATGTGACAGAAAATGAGGGGAGGGAATGGGGATTAGATGCAACAAAGGGTACCTGACTGGACTTAAACTGAGGACATTGTGATTACATGGTAAGCATCTTTGAAACCCCTGCGGGTCAATACTGATATAGATTTGCCTTGTCCTTTCACACATCGAAAGCTTGGAACGAGCTTCAAGGCATACTTGACTTGGAATTTTCACCCTCTCGTTAGATGTTTAAAATATTTTAATCTGTGAACACAACAATGTTGCTGCTTTCAACAAGTGCCATTATTTGCCTTGATTCTTTGAGCCTCTAAACCCTGTATGTTTGGTGTCTGTTTTATTGATATGTTTTGTGTTGTGTTGTGGTGTTATCTGTCCCCATCTGTACTTTTTTACTTGCTGCCCATCTTTACCAGGACTCCCTGGCAAAGGACATATTGTATCTAGAGTAGACCTTTCTGGTTAGATAAAGGACAAACTGGAATTAGCAGCAAATTGAAGAAATTTGCTCAAGGCGTTTCGGAGATATCTCGTTCGCGAGAATGGACCGGATGTATGTACGTCCTGACAACCTGGCCAAGGCTATCACTGGTGAGGAGGCATAATAAAATGGTTTGTAGCTCAGGTGTTAGATCGGGCCATCCAGTAATTGTCATTGTGGTTTGATCCCCGGCTCCTTTAAAATCCCAACTGGAATCTGACAGTTTTGGCTGCACATGTAGCATGAGTTTCCTACCAGCGGATCAGTTGGATTTAAGGGATTAAACCAAGTGTTGAGTTTGCCATCATTGGCTCACTATTGCTGTTAGTTAGTTAACTATATACATACTATTTCGATCACTTAATTTCTATTTGCTGGGCCTGTTCTAGTGTAACGTCCAGTTTAGCTCATTTAACAATAGCAGAAAATGTTAGATGTTCTCTTATGTTGAGTCAACAAACAAACAAACGGATACAAAGCCTATATTTAGTATTCTATAATTCAACAGGAGATTGTGTCTATTTATTACAAGGTCCGAGACTCACCTAGAAATCCTAGAGAGCATGTACAGGTGTAGCCGTTGACCTTATCCTCACAAGTGCCTCCATTCTGGCAGGGTTCAGACTCACACTCGTCAATGTTGACAGAGCAGTTCTCTCCTGCAATATGGAAGAAATGATGACGAATCAAACGATGAAATTGTTGATATGGCTGATTGGTTTCTTTAGTTTTACAGACCTGCAAACCCCGGCTGACACTGGCAGATATATCCTGCTGCATCCGCAAAGCTGAGCTCCCAGTCGTGCTCCCAGTGAGATGGATCCGAACGCTCAAAACATTCCCCGCCGTTCTCACAGGGCTGCTCGGCACACTCGTCTATATCGATCTCGCAGTTTGGGCCTTCGTAACCTAGAGAAAGCAAAGCAGACAATGTTTTATTCACACTGAACACACCGAGTTTGGACGCATTACCTAGAACCCAAATGAACCTTCAAACCTCATTTACAATGGAGAAGCATATTAACGATATCACAAAAGTAGCCTTCTTTCATCTCCGTTTATTGATTTCTGACATTTTGTAAATGTTAATTCAAAACTGAGAATCTTACCGCTTTTATGACTGAATTAATAACTCTTATTATATATAGCTAACATTATGCTGTTTTTGTTTTTAGACATGCTAGCATATTGGCATGGTCATATGGTCTAAAATATTTCATTAACTACTATTGTCATGGAATTTCCTCCAACATTCATGGTTCCTCTGACTTTGTCCAACGAGAGGCTCCATATGGAGGCTCTTGAGAGCTCGAGTTCATGAAAGCAAATGTAACAGAGTTAATGATTCCACTTGCCATCACTGGCCATTATTTGCTAATATTACTGTATATTACAGTTATTGCTAAGCCATATCATTTTCATATTATTTCCTCCTCTATTTCTGTAAATATCATTTACAGCTTATTATCATTAGTTTCCCACGGAGACAAGTGTGTTGTGTGTCACATGAGCGCCCTCTGCTGGGCCCCTGCAGACTTGAGTGGTTCGCCCCGCTTTCCGTGACCGGTCTGCAGCACGCTGTCTCCGATCTGTGACGAGCTCCGTCGTGATATCTGTATAAGTTCCTTTTTGTTCGTAGAATTGTGTTTTGATCTATAATTTCTAGAACAAAAGCTTTAAACTGATAACTTTATTTAGCATTAGTAACATGCTAACAACAGCTAGCTTTAGCATTTGTTTCTTTACTTTGTCAGTGTTCCGGAGCTTGTAACCACGAGGTGGGCTGTGAGAAACCCTGAAATCATTCTGTTTGTTACCAGATGTGCTACCTATATGCTGTCCTGTGAATAAACGCCTGGTTGGAGCCAAAAAGACATCAAGTGTGCCTGAATTAAAACACAACGCAAAGAGAGAGTACACAACCGCTACACAAACACTTGCTCAGTTTAATCCAGTTTTATTTGGGTTTGGTTTTGGTTTCTCCCTGTTAAAGGTTTTGGGGGAGTTTTCCTGTTCCGATGTGAGGGTCGTGGGACAGAGGATGTCGTATGTGTACAGCCCTCTGAGGCAAATTTGTGATTACAAAAATTAATTGAATTGAATTAAATTGAATTGGTTTTGAAACATTGGGAGATACTCGTGTCTTTAAGTAATACAGATGGCATTTAAGTCACTGAAATAAATTATCCACAGGACCGTGACAGCGCAGTCCTGTGTGAAAGTCCTGTGTTTGTTTGACCCATCCACCCCAACTGTAGACGTTAAAAACGTGTTTGTGATGTGTCAAAAACAAACGTAATCCTGAAGAAAATACATTTTCCTCTAAATATAATGGACAGTAATATTAGCAGTTTTTGTCTTAGTGTGAAGCCAGTGTATTGTGGTTCAGTGAAAATCACCAGCTAAAGTGCTCCGGGCTCAGATTCACATTGACAGTGGGCTCAGTTCGCAATGGTTGCGTGTCCTTGTGTTGGTACAGGAACGTTTGATGTGCAGCATGTAGTTGGGTACCTGGCCAGCAGAGGCAAGTGTATTCGTTGACTCCCTCTAAACATGAGGCACCATGCTGACAGGGATCAGAGGCACACTCTGGAATGTCCACCTCGCAGTAGTCACCCTGGAATCCTGTACCGCTGCAGTCACATTCATAGCTGCAAGAGACACAAATTAGTTTTTAAACAGCAGGAAATACAATTCAGACAACGAGCAACACCTGAACAGGAAACCCACATGGGGATTTATCATAGCTGTAGAGGAACTGCTGTTTCTGCTGTTGCAACTGATATGCAGGCCTTTGTGGTTCCACTACCAAAAATGGCAACAAATGATAAACCCAAACTCCAGTCTTTTAAATAGATATCTATTGAGCCACTTCTTCCAACAGTCTGCGATATAAACAACAAAAAGCTTCACCGATTTTTCCAACTGGGAACCAAAAGCACATGTGACATGTGAGAAATGAAAAACCATAAAAGAGGCACTTTGAGATAACTCATTCACGATCAAAAGAAAACAGCTTTTTATCTTGAGAATACAGCATTATTGAATTGTGACCTTAAATGGCAGGTGTACAAAAATGAGCCTTTCAAAGCAATCAGAAGTGAGCAGCCTGAAGGTTCACAACGTCATTAAGGACTTATGTGTGGACATTCACACCAGAACAGAGACATTTCCGGTATGTTTTGGTGGGATAGGTGGATTATGAGATCAAGGGCCTTTTGGCAGAGTCACTTCAAAGGCCCCACCTCCCATCCAGCAGCCCCAAAAAGAAATGTTAATAGTCATGTCACATGGAGGCTCTGACCTGTATAGGTCCATTCATTAACTCATTCATCCCTGGTGGCCCAGACCTTTAGAAACATAGTTTGTAGTGAGCATAAAGTGTATATTGGTAAG